GGGCAAGTTTTGAAACTTTTCAAAACATTAGGGTTTAACTATTCAAATTTCAAAAAACAAAACTTTTAAGTTCAAATTTAAACTATAAAACCTAAAGGGGAAAATTGAAACTTTTTCACAAGATAATTCAAATCTAAATTACAAATAATCAATCTTTTATCTAATAAAACAAAAGATTATCTAAATTTTGACAATTATCTTCTATTTTGGCAAGGATAATCTCCAAATATTGATAAAAATCGAATTTTATTAATAAAGAACGTTTTAAGCAATTATCCACAGCCAAAACAGGTCAAAATCCCGAAATCTGCTCCATCTGCGACTCTGACTCGTCGAGTCTAGCTTGGACTCGTCGAGTTCACTATGGACTCGGCGAGTCCAGCCCCCAGAAACCAAAAATTCTCGATTTTAAGCATGAATAATCAACTATAACATCAAATACATCAAACAAACAACCCTAGGCTCTGATACCACTGTTGGGTTTCGAGCAATACATCATTCCTATGGTGTACATGCAAACCCTAATAGCTTTTGGATCTAGTTTGTCTAATGAACATGCAATCGAATATCCAAAGCTATAAACCCTAGATCTATCATATAAGAACTGAAATAAGGGTTTAGTAATTACCTTTGATTGTTATATAGCAATAGCAATAACAATCAATCCTTGCTTTGATTGGCTTCAGAAAGCTTAGTGCCTCAAGTGTTGCACCTCTAATGGAGTCACAAACACCACTAAGCAATTGGATGAATCAGAGAAGAGAGGGGAGGCACCAAAAACGGCTGGAAACCTTAATCCAAGTATTCACCACGTTTTTGGGGCCATAAGGGTTCCTTATATATGCTGGCTATTAGGGTTTACAGCTAGGAAACCCTAATCTGACTGCTTAAGCCCTAAGCAGCCCATGGACCCCTTCTGGAACATGTCTTGGACGATTTCTAATGGGCTTCCCCATAGAATTCGTCCAACCTATTATTCCACGGTGATCCATAGCCCAATTATGTAATTATCTTATAATTACACAATAAGTCCCTTAAGTTTAATTAATCTCTTTTAGTCACAAAATTAATTCGTTATTAATTCTTGACTAATATTAATTAAACAATATGATTTCTCCTTTAATATATTATTCTCATAATATATTAATAAATCATAATTAAACCTTTCTCTCCTTAATTCATCCTACATATTGCTATGGTGAAGGCAACCCAAAAGGACCATGCTCATAATCGGGTCAAGTACATACCAAAATAGTTATGGACTTAGACACTAATCCAACATATCAAATAGCCTATATCAAAACCAGAAAGTACACTTGCAAGGGTAAATTTGTCAATTTCACAATGGAATCTAACTCGTAGTAGTTGACCATGAATCTATTTTCCTAAATTGATATGATTCAAATATGGTGCTAATTTCAACACTACTGAGAATGTAAAATGTGTAAAGGATGTACAAATTGTCACCATTTGATAAAGAAGATGTATTACCCTTTGTTCATGCCCACTTTGAAGGTGTCTATTGATGGTGGTTTCCAACTTGCTAGTTCTTTATTGGGTAATTTTCGCAAGGGGTAGCACAAATTTTAAATCAGTGGTGGAACCAGGAATTTTCGCAAGGGGTAGCACAAATTTTAGTTCCCAATAAAATATAAAGAGTAATACTATAGCTAGTTTCCTAACACACTTAAAATATATAATTTTAAAGCTTAATTAGAAGACTATGATATTAAAGTTAGCTTCCTAACACATTGAAAATCTTTGTTGTGGTTTTCCTACATGATCTTTATGATAAGGTAGCCCAAATAGAAACAACTAGATGAAATACATGTTGATATGGAAAAAACCCGTAGATGGGGTTAGGTCGATGAACTTAAAACCATATCTTCATGTCTGGTTTCAAGATATTTGTATGTATGAGTTGATCAATATCAAATAGCTTATATCAGAACCAGAAAGTACACTTGCAAGGGTAAATTTGTCAATTTCACAATGGATTCTAACTCATAGTAGTTGACCATGAATCTATTTTCCTAAATTGATATGATTCAAAGATGGTGCTAATTTCAACACTACTGAGAATGTAAAATGTGTAAAGGATGTACAAAATGTCACCATTTGATAAAGAAGATGTATTACCCTTTGTTCATGCCCACTTTGAAGGTGTCTATTGATGGTGGTTTCCAACTTGCTAGTTCTTTATTGGGTAATTTCCATAAAGAATCTTCAGCTTATGTGATATAGGAATTTCATCGAACAATTAGTGTTCTCTCATAGGAATTTCATCGAACAGTTGGTGGGCTAGTGCTAAATTAGTGAACTCTATATACACGCTCAATCGATAGTTACTCATTTACAAGTGACTACCACCATCGTTCTTACTTACCGTGGCATGATATATCTCAACAGATAATTCGTTGGTTGGTTTAGGTGAGATTAGTTATGTGACATATAAATAATCAGAACATAAACTCTAAGATGTGCAATTCAAGAAACATAGTAGAAGCACCAACATATTATTCAATTAATTAGAATTTAAATTCAAGTAACAATGATTCCACCAAAATCAGAAGAATAAAACATAGAAATTGAGCCTCGATCCTAGAAAAGACGATCAAATTGGAATTTTGATACTAATTCTCAAACTAAACTAATCATGTATGAATGTTTATGTCTGATTCTTCATCTTCTTGAGGAGTACAACCTCGACAATCTACCGGTAGCATTAGCAGCAAAGATGCAACATAAAAAAGTTATATTTCTCGGATGATTTTGAGGGGTAGCACGGGCTACCCCCGGCTCCTAACTAGTTCCCCCACTGTCTTAAATAAAACAATAAGTAAGTAACAAATAATATATCAAAAACTCTATATTTAAGTTAATAAATACTTATGAATTCTACATATCTAAACATGGGAACTCTTTATCACTAATATCAAACCACAATAAATGAATAAATATTCCAAATAAACGATGACAGACACCCTTATAGACTTAAAAGAATCTTAAATGAAACCACTAGGATCGAGCACATGTGTCCAATCATGGATTTTTTTAGCAACATCTTATATTTATATTTGGCTAGTACTTCAAATCACAAAGATTGGAAGTCTAAATTTCTCTCTATTTTTTAAATTAATGATATTTATTAATAATTTTTGTATTTATTTGTTTATACATATTGTAGCTATATATATATATATATATATATATATATATATATATATATATATATATATATATATATTATTTTCTTTAAAAAATTGTTTAGGTCTATTATATGACATTAACCTTACTGTTAATTATGTATAATTTTTTTAACTGTCGTTTAAACATTTTGATTTTTTCAAATATAAATAATATGTGTAAAGCCTTAATATTCAAGCATATCGCGACTTGAAAATTTTGTAGGCATTTACATGAAAAAGATCCATAGTTGTATCTAAATACTACAACCAAAATCAAGTTTTCGTTTTCACATAGTTTGCTTGAGGATCACAATCACACGCGTCAATTGATTTCCAGTTATTTCATCGTAATTGTTATTTGAACCTTTTGGTTTAAAATATTTTAGGTGTTGTTTGTTTTTTCAGAAAACTCACTCCTAGTTGCGCCGCGCAGCACACGCGCAACACTTGGTCTTTCGCAGTTGTTTGTTTTTTGGAATACATTTCTAACTTAAAAACTGTTGCGCGTGTGCTGTGTGGCGCAACACTGGACCATCTTCTTCAAACCACTTCTCACTTACTTTAAGTTATATTATTTTACTTAGATTTGTTTTTTTTCAACAACATATTTATTATTTTAATAATATTTGAAGAATATGTAAACAATTCGAGTAGATTTTACATAATTTCAAACAATTTGAAAACCATTTGGTAAATTTAATATAAGTATTTTTTGTGTTATATTGTTTATAACCAAATATTAATAAATTATAAAATTAATCATTAAAATTACCAAATTTATTGAAGTTAATCGAAAAAATAATCATCGTCTTCAAAATTTTAACATAAATGAACATGTTTTTAGCTAAAGTAACAATTTTATTTATTGTTATTTAGCAAATATTATGTTTAATTCTTTTATATAAACCTCTTTAAAAATCATATCATCATAATGGTATTTATATTTGATTTACATATGAGTAAACTATATAATTTTTTTACTTAGACTTATTTTTAACTATTGTATAATTAATTTCAGTTTATTGTAACAGTCTGCAGAAGTTAAAAAACAAACAAACTTCTTATTACATGTTGCAGCCGTTTAGTCCACCTCTTATACTGCAGAGGGTTGCAGATGTGGTCTGCAGACTTCATCCGTTTTCATTTTGAAAAAACAAACATAGCCTTAGTAATTATAAATAATGGGCTATGTTTTAATGGGGTTGCATTATTATAAATTTATGATGGGCTATGTTTTGATGGGGTTGCATACATGCAATCGGGCCAGCCTATATGTTAGCATTTAGCAATATTATATATTTTTTGATGTCAAAATGTTTTAATTAAAAAATAGTTCAGGCACACAACATTTCCCAAGAATGCAAACATCCCATTTTGATTATCAAGACAAAGACCAAAAGGTTTTTGGTCTAACGATAAAGAGCGACTCTCTTATTTGAAAGTTTATGAGTTCAAATATCATTTGAGACATAGGTTGTGATAATTAAGAATAGATTAGTTTGTCGTTTCAAAAAAAAAGTTGTGATAATTAGGAGTAGGTTGTGATAATTAGGAGTAGATTAATTTTTCGTTTAAAAAAAAAGAAAAAAAATTGTGTATCCATTTTTTATTGATTATTATACACTATAGTCAATAAAGTTTTAACTTTTTTTTTTGCTATTAAATTGTTTTAAAATCAAATATTGTTGTTAAAATGATATAAAAAATAAAGTAATGTTTTTAATACAGCATGTTGCATTTACATTCCACGTTATTGGTCAATTTATTACCAATTGTTTTACAAGTGGTCGCTCGTCGCTGAAAAAGAACAAATAAGTATATCATCACACTACGTAAAACAAAGCATATGTCGTCCGATTGCATCTGCAAGATTCCAATTCCAGTTACAATTCACGCGATACGTTCATCACAAACCAAAAACATCGATTGGATGACAATATACCAATTTGCCAGTTTATAATTTTGAATTTCTCTCACGACATCAGATCTCTGACGAATTTTCAGATGAAACTTTCATTTCTAAGTGGTCGTCGATTTCGTCAATTTCTAGATTTATTGCTGTCGTCGTCATTATCATCATGTATACTGGTAATCTGCTAGGGTTCGGTCTCGCCGTCTCTTCTAGTGCATTCATCGGATCAAGTTTCATTATAAAAAAGAAAGGTCTCCAAAGGGCTGGTGCTTCTGGTGCTCGCGCGGGTAAGTTTCCGGTGACTTTGTAGAATTTGTTGATTAGTTCAATATAATTGGCATAAACGAATCACTGATGATATATAGTTATCTAATAACATCACAGAAACGAAATTTTGGTATAACTGTTTACCTGTACATCGTGACAATCGAGTTCAATTTTCGTCAGTTCTTATTACAAGTTGAGGGGTTCTTTTGATTAATTTAAGTCTTGTTTGTTTTGATTGCTTCTGGCTTGTAAAAAAGGCTCAGGAGGCTACGGTTATCTGCTGGAGCCACTATGGTGGATTGGCATGTTCACTAGTAAGTTTTTCCATTTCTTTTATCCTTAGATCGATGTCTTGATATGATTCTTTTGCTTCTCTGTATTATTTATCTGAAACATAAGCAAAATTCTTGAAATTGACAGTGGTTGTTGGAGAATTTGCCAATTTTGTAGCTTACATCTATGCTCCAGCAGTGCTTGTGACTCCACTAGGAGCATTGAGTATTATCGTGAGGTGAATACTGATTACTTATTATACGAGAGTGATTAAATTAATATTAAGTGTTGTGTATTGTTGTAACTTAACTGTATTTATTTGGCAGTGCTGTTCTAGCACATTTTTTACTGAATGAGAAACTGAGGAAAGTGGGAGTACTGGGGTGTGTGCTTTGCATAATGGGTTCCACTGTTATTGTGCTTCATGCCCCTGCTGAACATGCCATAAGCTCTGTGGAAGAAATTTGGGACTTAGCAACACAACCAAGTGAGTCATGCAGTCTCATTACTCATTTCTTGATTCTTGTTTTACTTGTATCAATACTCAATAGTAAGAGATTGTTTTTGTTGATTCCATTGTGTTGTACTTGTTGGTGCAGCTTTTCTTTTGTATACAGCATCAGCAATAGCTGTGGTGTTGGTATTGGTGTTGTACTGTGAACCACGCTATGGGCAGACTAATATGATGGTGTATATTGGCGTATGTTCCATAAATGGTTCAATAACGGTCAGTCTATTGTCCAACTTTCTGTCAATTATTTACATTTCGAGCAAACTCATTTCTAGACATAAGAATATATAGTTTTTATTTACTAAAATGATATTTTATATTTGGTAAACACTGGGGGAATAGTGGAGTATATGTATATGTTTTTCTTGTCTAGTGGCATGACTCATGTATCATCTGTACGTATATAATTCTATTTCTATCTATAAGGGAATTGTGAAAAAACTGAATGGGCTTTTCTTTTCAAGATGCAGATGCTCCTTTTTTGTAGGACCTACATTTGAAATAATGAGTTTATAAATTGCAGGTTATGAGCGTGAAAGCAATAGGTATCGCGATAAAACTTACATTAGAAGGCTCAAGCCAGGTGGCAAGCTACCAAACATGGATTTTTGTAATGGTAGCTGTTACATGCATAATCACTCAGTTGAATTACTTAAACAAGGTTGGCCATCATTTTCATTTGTTCAAAAAAGAATCTGGGAGTTGCTGAATCTAATAGATCTTAATAGGAAACACAACACTTCTTGTGAGCTCACTTTAAAAAACAGCAGATAGGGAAAATACATATTAGCCCTTGTACTTCCATCATTCTGTCTATTTAGCCAATTAACTATTATCTGACCTGTAGTAATTAAGCCATTATACTTTGTTTGACCACTAAACTACTATTTTTTTACTGAAGTATTATTTTAATAATCATGAAATTTTTTATCAGGCTTTGGACACATTTAATACCGCAGTTGTTTCACCAATCTATTATGCCATGTTCACATCATTCACAATTCTCGCAAGTGCTATCATGTTCAAGGTATATTTGGTATTGCATGATGCATTTAATTGCATTATATCAAAAAGGCTTTCCAATATCACTTTTGAATTACACCTCATTATTTTATTTTAATTTTTTTTCCCTATAATAATAATTGATAGGACTGGTCTGGTCAGAGTGCTAGCACCATTATTTCTGTGCTTTGTGGGTTCATGACTGTACTTTCTGGTACCATGATTTTGCACACTACAAGAGAACCTGATCAACCACCTGTTTCAGGTAATAACCCAAAGATCTTGTGTTGCATTAGGGTTAAATGAAAGTTTCATTTATTTATTTCTTTATTATATTATAGCATCTATTACAACATCGTACTTTAAAAAAGTGACACAATTATAGCAATCTCATCCAAATATTAACCATCTTTCCTTTCAGTGCTATAATTGAGTTTATTATTTCAAGTGCAGTGTCCTAATGAAGAAAAATTAGAAGTACAAGATTTTTAAAAGTACAATGTTTTAATAAGAATTGAATTGGAAGTACAATGGACAAATAGATAATTCAACCCACACCCCATGAACCAGTTTTGGTCCTTGTAACTTTTTATGTACCTGTTCCAAGTAAAATGATTATTTTTGGTCCCTGAGTATATCTTCTTTTTGCAATTTTGGTCCAGAAAATAGTGGTTTTACTTGGAACAGGGACCACAAAGTTTACCAAAACCTCACATAAGGACCAAAATTGCAAGAAAAAAGCCTTTTGGGACCGAAATTGAAAAATCAGCTATACTCAGGGACCAAAAATGTAATATAATCATAATTCAATTGATATTCATTTTAGAGAATTGTATAGCATAGTACTCCTAATTTCGTATGTATCTCTTAAGATTAGATGCCTATGTGAAAGACTCGCATTCTTCCTTAAAATGGGAATGCTATGCATAATGTAAAGATATAAATTAATTGTGATGCAAGTAATATAAATTTTAATAGATTTTGATTTGAGAGTTGGTTACTTTGCAGACATGTATTCATCACTTTCTCCTCAAATATCATGGATTGTGCATGCAAATGGTGAAATATGGAAGCACAAGGATAATGAAGAATCATGCCCCCCTGAAGTTGTTGCAATAATTCAACCAGATCATTTCAAATGACATACTTTTAGAATGCATACACACTACTGACTTTGATTAAGAATGCAGAATGCAGAAGAATGCCTCAAAAGTCAAATATGATGTTGATGCCAATCACCCGATGCAAGGAGAGGAGGAAGTATTCTTGGCTTTCTGAAAGATATTCATCTAACATGGTGACGTGATCTTTATTTTTCTTTTTTCATCTGTGAAAATAGAAGAAACTTATATTTGTGTTTGGGATCTTCATCTCATTATAGGCCCCAAAACCAAAAGTAGTATAATATTTATTATTATTTCTTCTGTATTACAATTTAGTAGTGCATGTAGGTGGTGTTATGTTTTGTAAATGCTCAACACAAACAGACAGTGTATACCTTTGTTTTCAGTTTTCAAAAAGAGTTAAGATTTAGCTTCATTCATCTTGCAATGCAAACTTTGATCATGTTGATGGAGTTTTAGCATGTCACTTTGGGGTGTGATGTGAATGTGATCAACAACAAATATAGTTGCACATAATACTCTTTAAATCATTCCCCTTAAACAACATCTGCTTAGTTATTGAACAATCCCTCTATGAAATATCATGTCATCACCAACAAATATGCATATCCTTTCAAAATATTACTTTTTACTTCTTGTTCTAACCATATTATCAAAATGTTTCTGTTTACTCCTCTAAACCCAGTTAGGCATTGCCTTAACCGCTTACATTTGGAAATTGCAATTGGTCTTAACCGTTTATGTACTAAGTGGGAATATAGACAAACTCTCATATTCCTATTGTTACCCTTTACTACAACTTCATTACTCACGTCTTCCTTTCTTTTTGCTGCACCACGATTACTTATGGGAATGAGGTTTTTTTTAATAAATAATTTCAATAGGGGTTCTTAACGGTAGAATGGTATTATATATATTTTTTGTTATCTCTTTTATTTTTTAAACATGAAACTATATATTTGTTAAAAAATTAACAATACAATTAGAAGGAATATAATTTATAATTTTGACAGTCAAATTTTTTTTTATGGCATCGAGAACATTCATTTATTATTGGATCATCACCTTGTGAGAGAATACAATCAGTATTTTTTGGCCTGTTGGGTTGATGTATGTCCATTCATAGTTGTCGACTCATGACTCAAAATGAAAATTTTCTACTCGTGACTCGACTCATAAGACATGTTATTTTACGAAATTAAATATACGAGTAGGGACTGGATTGTACAAAAGTTGGAAGTGTTGGGCTTGAATGTATAATCCAACTGAGTAGGGGCTAGATTGTATAAAAGCTGAAAGCTAGAAGGCTTAGATGTAAATATTTTGATATATAGAATGACGTAATGTCATTTTTTCATTTCTACTTTCAAAGTAATTAACAGTTTTTTATCCTTCTCAGGACTCATGTTTTTCTTACATACGTACTCTAACTTTTTTATTTATCTCATACTTTCTCTAAGGTCCTTAGCATTCTTATGACATGCCCATAAGGTATGTGAGATAGTTGTCACTTCCTACACATGCAACTCTGTTCATTAAAATCAAAGATGTCATCCCATTTTAAGTCATGAACCTCAAATCTTCTATTTGTGATTGGGTACACCGTCTGGTTACTAATTGGATTTTTTTCACACTTTGTCATCGACCCTTTGTTGAGTGTTGTTATTTCCGCTACTAACATTATTAACACATAACACAGTTAAGTTCAAATAGTGGAAAGCATCGTAATTAATCTAACTTATACAAGTAAAATTACGATGTTCAAAATACGACAACTGCAATGTCGTACAAAAAAAGTCAATTAGCATCAACTCTAACACCCCCCTTGCATATCTGGATAATGTATTTATGGACTCAGAAGTTTTGGATGTCATAAGATTGTAGCAACTACCATTAGAATACACCATAGACTATTTATCTGCATCTTTCCGACAAGAAGGGCCTCACTTTGCTTACCTCCCCAAGTGACGACCACCCCCTCTTTGGTGTGGAGGGACATGGGTGATGTGGCCATAAGGTCTAGCATGCCCATACCACACAACCTTACATATTATTGCTTCTTTGTTTTTACAAACAAACAATCTATTCTTAGTCGTCATGTATGATAATGTATTTTACAAAAAATTATGTCAATAACATTAAAGTATATTTTTTATACCTTTTTGGAATAATTACATAATTACATGATTTAAGATAGTTTTGTTGCCGAAGTACATGAAATTCACAGTTGCATGAGTTTGGATTTGTAGCGGAGCATCGGATTAACATGAATAAGAATATGAATGGTTTGATCGGGCAATGACAGACCTGTTTCTTAAAAGAAATAAACATCCTCAAATTTAAAGAAAAGGCTGAAACTTAACAGGGAAGGAACGGCAAGACACATAAAGACCAGTTGTACATTTAGAAGAGTAATTAATGGGAAACTTTTAACAAATTGGTAACTGTCTAAAATTATTATCATTATATAATTTTTTTGTCGAGGAAAACAGCATTCTCATCTCACACTTGAACATGAAATATATATAATACATATGTAAGGAACAATCAACTAATCAATCACACAACTGCTGACTTCTTCATCTACACATAATGCACAACATCATCGCCCCTGCCCCTGCCCATCACATGAATATGCTATGCATATACCAAAAAACCGATCCAATCCAATCCCTCATTCCTCAACACTCAAAAAAAGTTTTCATTCATGACTGGCTAACATACAGAACAGGGACTAGCCCAGCTATTTTTCCATCCCGACCAGCTCGTTTTTTCTTCACCTGCAGTCAGTCAAAGTAACTCAGTCAGGTATTATTTAATTCTATCATACATATTAATACATCATCACTAACTTAATGGGAGAAAAAGAGCATATATCACAACAATTTAGTACAAGTGAAGTAACTAGTCCTTACATAGAACCAGCCATCAACTTCGTACTCGATTTCAACCTCTTCTCCAGCAGTTAAACTCAACTGCACCACCATATTAAACAAACAAATATTATATTTTATATATATACAAGTCAAAAAAATTCATGTGTTGTTTCCTTTTGACATTCTTAATACATAAATTCAGAAAACTTATTATTTTTCTTCAATTTTCCCAAGCATGCCATATTTTTTTGTCATAATTTATCCAGAGTAGACACCACTTAATGGGACAAAAAAAAAAAAAAAAAGAGAAAACAGGGCCATAAAAGTGTACCTCATCATCACCACCGGCTGTGAAGTCATAAAGTGCTGATCCAGATTGTGCGTTCCCTGTAGAGGATCGTGATCTTTCTCCTCTTTCCTCTTCATGAGAGTCAAAGCTACTTGAGCCCTGTCCTGTCAACGGGTTCTCAAATGACTCGAATCTTTGATGAACCGGAGATGAGTATGGAGGAGGCTCTTCGCTAATCTATTTTTTATTATATAAACCACCAACACCAATTAACAAGTTACTTACTTGATATAATATATTCAATTCAATAACTAACTATAAGATTCATCATGCACAACACAACACTAACCGGAGAACCGTAACCCTCATATGAAGAGGAACCAGCAGAAGGCCTACTCCTACTCTGTCGTCCTCCTCCTGTGCTGCTTCCCTTCTCCTACATTTTACAATTCATTCAACATAAAATCATTAACTATTTCTATTTCCATTTCCATTTCCCAAATACATAAATACCACTTACAAACTCAAACAGATACAGATTATATTTATACCACCATCAACATTCTATGCATATGCAACAATATTTTTTTTTTTTTTTTTAATTTCTATATGTATTATCACCTCCTACTTCCATTTCTTTTTATTATACTTTCATCTCTATTCTTATTAACCCATTATTATACTTTGGAAAAATTATCCAATTATACCAGTGTACTTTCACTTTTTTTATTACTATATTTATTTAGACATCGTACTTTCAGTGTAATTATAGCAGTGAAACTTGCTTTTTTTTTTTTTGAAACGGAAAACTAACCTACTCCTAAACACCACCTATGTCTCCTAATGAGACTTGAATCATGACCTCTCATTTGAAAGAATCACTCCTTACCGCTAGGCCAGTGAAACTTGCTTTGTATTTGGATGTCAATTGTCACTGCTATTTCTGAGTCCCAACCCTCACATTATCCAAACAAATCAATAGCATCCTACTTACTACACCATTATACTTTTTATTTTCCTTGGTAAGCGTTTGTTATATTTTAAAAAATCTACCCAGTTATAGCACAATACTTTTATATTATTAGGACATTATACTTTGAAAGATCTACTTAATTATAGCAGTCAAAAATGGTTTGCATTTGGATGGCATTGCTAAAATTTGAGTAGATTTTTAAACTAAAATCCTGTAATAAGAAGAAATGAAAGCAGGAAGTTATAATAAACAAAGTAACTTCAAACATATTATCTATCTATCAGATAACAAAATAGCTTTCAAATTTTATGATACCGTGGGTTGTGAAGATCCATAAGCTGATGGTTTGGAACTGAACAAAGATGGATAATTCATTCCTCCAAAATGAGATGAAATTGATGTCTCAACCGACCCTACTGAATCTGGAGAAGAGGATCCAGAAGACCTCCCGTCATCCTACAAATAAACATATGATATACATCAAATTGCACAATCATACATAAATAAAATGCACTGAATTCTTACATCAACTTCTGCAGTCTCTAACAGAGTTTTTGCCCACATATCATCATAACTCATTGAAGGTCTTGAAATAATGTTCTCCTCATCAACATCAGGTGCATCAGTCCCAGCACCAGCAAGAAACTCATTAACCTTCCAAAATCAAATTATACATCATCACCTTAACTCAACAACTTTTTTAAACAACTTCCCTCATTTATTTCTTTCCTACCAAGTGTCCCTTCATTTTCTCAAATATTTTTTAAACATAGATAACACTTAATGGGGGGTTTTTTTTTTCTTAAGAAAAAAAAAAAAAAAGATCATTTCTCACCCTATTCATTGCAGGAGCATTGCTTCCCCACAAGCCATCATCAGCAAGACCTGTTGCCCAAGCATTTACCAGATCATCATCAAGATTATTGTCAGACTCCACAGCTGCTGGTTTTATGGACTCATATAACAGTTCAGAAATCCCTGTAGACACAGCAACATCCCTCATGCCACTTGATGCAGTAATATTATGCCGATTCCGATATATCTCAATCAGCTTTGCACTGTTAATTTGTAGATTGTAAACAAACACAATGAATAAGCTTCTGCTACATTCAATATAAAAAAAAAATACAACAGCTGATGATGATATTGATGCAGTAATATATTACCTTGTTGGCCCTAGAGGTAGATACTTTGTTCTTGGAACATAACAGAATAATGAAACAAGATCTAGAAGCCTTTCATGCGTCTCATATAG